AAATAAATAAAATTCCACAAGCACAGCTTTGAGCAAAATGAAGCTCGCCCATCTCCCCTCACACTATGGTTTAGATCAGAGGTGGCTTTTAATCCCTTCACTCTCTGCTTCCTAGATGCCATAATGTGAGCAGCTTTCTTCCACCTCACCCTTCCACCATGCAGTTTCTACATTGGAGCCAGCCAGCCACAGACTGAAATTTCTGAAACTGTGAGCCAAAATAAACCTCTCCTTTAAGTTGTGGGTGTCGGGTATTGTGTCTCAGTGCCAAGAAATTAACTATGGCACTTCACTTCACGGGGGGATGGACAAGGAGTCCAGGCTGAATAATAGCCCTAAGAAAAGGCCAGGGGAAAGGAGTGAGGGCTGGGGTGACCAAGAAGGCCTGTGTCTGGAGAGAAAGTTTGAGCAAAGGCCAGAATGGAGCAAGTAAGCCTAGTTGGGGGACAGGGTGCAGTGTGGCAGACTCAGGTGCCAGGAAGCTGTAGCTGGTCTCAGGACTTGGCAAATGCCTGATGGTTGTGTGACAAAACAGCCCAGGACCACAGCAGCTGGAGCAGGGGCAGTAAGGGGAATGGGAGCAGGCATGCACAAAGGAGGAGCAAGCCCAGGAGACCTGTCCGTGCTATGAGTTTATTATCAATGGGACAAGAAATCATCGGAGGGTCTTACCCAAGGTAACACAGCAGTAAGAGGCAGGAAGAACTGAGTGCAAGGGTGTTCATATCCAAGTCCTGCACAGTCTTCTGCTGCCATACCAAACTGCTCTTCACAGACCTAGTCAGTGAATATTGGAAACACAGAAACAATTCCTTGTTCTGGAGTCTGCTGATTCTGCTCAACCTATGTCCCTCCATGTTAAGATAAGACAAAGCTCTCCTTCAATGCCCCTAGTCCCCAACATGGCCAATGGTATGTTGTCTGTGCAGGTGGGCACCTGAATTCTTCCCACCCTACCTGAACTCCTATTAAGAGGTACAGAAAAAGGAGGTACAGCCTCTCTCCTTGTGCTGGCCTTGTCGTTTGTTTGGGCTAATGTGGTAGAAGTGACCTTATGCCTGCTTAGGCCTAGAGAACCCTGGAAGCTCTACTTTTGCCCTTATGGAGTTCTGATCCCCAGAAAAGAAGTCTCCCTGCCCTGCCAGAAGATTCCCTTCAGGAGACCCCTCCAGACCCACTGATGTGCAAGTGAGAAACCACCAAGATCTTGGAGGCCTAGTTGCCTGGAGCCCAGGCTGCACCATATGCAGTGGATAGAGGTGACCTGTCCCTGCCAAGCCCTGCCCACATGCAGATGAAACTGGTGCTGTGCTAAGCCACTGCGTTTCCAGGTAGACAAGCAGGACCAGAGATGACAGAGCAGCCTCTTCTCATAAAATAATCTTACATTCTGCATTTGTCTATTTGGATCCATTTATCACAGGGCTTTATTGGCTTTAGTTCCTTTTCTACATCCTCAATGCTCTGACATTTGGAGATGTCATAAACCCAGAAAGAGGCGGGCCTGGAAGGACAGCAAAATTCTTAGAGACAGCAAAAGGCTCCATATACCAACCAAAGAGCCAAGAGTCTCAAGGTCCTCAGCTATTACTTTATCTAATTCTCACACACCATGTCAATATTTT